GAAGTAGAGACGATTTTTTCCTCCACCCAGAAAGAGGTCGGAAGAAGAAATGAGGCCCAGCACATGCCTGGCACAAATCCGACACGCAAGGAAAATTCACTGAGAAGGCAGGTGTTTATTCAGCTTCCGGCCCAGCTCCACCTGCCTCTCCTCCCGTTCTCAGGCAGCTTCCATGCTCTGGAATTTCTGCCGGCCCTTATGAGAGTAGTGCTTTAACCCTGCAGCGGGAGAACCTAAATGTTTGTGCCACCTAGAAAGTGTCACTCTCCCCCCCTACCCACTTCACACTGCGGATAAATTGCAGCCTCAGTCAAAACGTCCAGGGGGAGGCACCTGCCCTATATCGGTGCTTTTCAAGCTACAGGTTCATGCGCAGATAATATGGTAGAATGAAATCTGGAATTGGCAGTCTCAAAAAAAAAAAAAAAAAAGTAGATGGAAAAAAAACAGGTCTGCATGTGGCAGAGGTAACTACTGTTAAACCTTTGTTTTGCATATATTGTGTATCTATACAGGGTTGCCATATAAAATGTTTCTTACAATGGATCGTGGTTTAAAAAAAAAAAAAAAATTTAAAAACATTCGGCCTATATGACACAGGTGGTCAGGAGCCAAGCTAGGACGAACCCCAGTGCAGGCCAACCTTCCCAGGCAAGCCAAGGCCCAAGTGGGCCAGGCACTCGCTCAGTTTCTGTGCTAGGCAGTCGGCAGAGACACCGTCCCCCAAAACCTCACACGCTCAAAGTGGAACCTGTGTCTAGTGAGTGTCCAGTCTCAGACCCTGGCTGGGGAGTGGGAAGCAGGTCTGGGGCCCCTTCCCCCAGCATCGCAGGGGGGGCCTCAGCAAGATGCTGCAGATTCCTGATGGCCCCCAACCACGGGTTTTCAGGCCGGAGAATTTCAACACACAGCACTCTGCTCCCTACCCCTCCAGTCAGGGCTCAGCCGTGGACTCGCTGATGTCTCTGAGGTTAGAGGACTCCACTCTGTAAACGTGAGGTCTTTTTCCCATCCTTATCTCCAAAACACTGAGGACCCGAAGATTACTCCTCAAGGCAGGGCTCAGCCTCCCCACGGGGGGTCCTGTGTTTGTGTCCAGGGCCCCCGCAGCCCAGCCTCTGGCGCTCCCGGCTGTCTGAGGGCGACGGGAGTCCACGCTCCCCACAGAACCCCTTGGTACCTGAGGTACCCGCAGCCTGGCTCAGGGGTGCTTCCACCGAGCGTGCTTCTGCAGCGTGTTCTGCTCCATAAAACGGCGTGGACAGTGCGGGCACTGGTAGGGGCGCTCCCCGGAGTGGACCCGACTGTGCTGGGCCAGCTCGCCCGCCTCTCGGAAGCGGCGAGGGCAGAGCGGGCAGCCGTGGGGCCGCCCGCCACCCGCCCGGTGAATGGAATGGTGCCGCGCCAGGTGGCTGGCCCGCTTGAATGACTTCCCGCAGGTATCACACTCAAAGGGCTTGACCTCCGAGTGGGTGATGCTGTGTCGCTGAAGGTAAGACATGTACTCGAAGACCCGGGAGCACACTGGGCAGCTGTAGCACTTTTTCTGAGCCGAAGCCCCATCGGGTCCGGACTCTCTCTGAGACTCCTCGTCCACCAGCACGGTGTACGGGACGCCCTGGGTGTCTATGAGCAGGTAGTGGTTGGGCCTCGAAGGGGACGAAGTCTGGGGACATCCTGTGGAAGAGGAAGGTCCGGGTTCTGGGGACCCGCCTGTCCGAGGGGGAGGCGCCTCCATGGCCTCAGCGGAGGGAAGCGCCAGGGGCTGGGGGCAGGGGGACGGCAGCACCAGCATCCGGAGGGGTGACTGAGGCCTGGTGGAGGGGAAAGAGGATGAGAAGGTTACAGTAGAGGAGGGAAGCTCAGCCCCACGGGCTCTGTTCTCCCCTCTCTATGTAACCTACTCAGGAATTCTGCAACCCCCATCCCCCATCTCCTCTCCAGTCCTTCGGCCCTGAACTCTGTGACCCTCTGTAAGGCTCCTACCCACCCCCTCCTTGAAAAACCTCTCCGATTCTGTTCCACCACCGACTGTACGCACAGGCTCTCTTTACTCTATCTTTCCGCTTTGTGCCCCCCCCCCCTCAGGTCACAGGTTGCCCGCAGGCCCCACCTAATAGACCTCCAGGCCTCTCCCTTGTCTACGCCACTGATCCCAGTCTGGGTGTCAGTCCATCCTACATATTCCACCAAGAAGCATTTCCTACCCCCTCTATATGCACTCAGGCCTTCTCAAATGGGCTGGCACGTTGGGAACCCCATGTCCTAACCCGCCCACCTCCCCTCGCCCGGCTACCTGCAGGTTCTCTCCAGTCCGCGCCCATCCACCCCCCCCACCCCACCCCCAGTCCTGGCAGTGTCCCAGCGCTCTCTAGGGTTCCACCAGCGGCCCGGGCCTTCAGGCCTCTCTACGCAAGTTCTCGGCAGCGCCCCCTCCGAGCCGTCGGAACAGCCCCTCCCCGCCCAGCGCACAGGTACCCGCTCACCCGGCCCCGCCCCTCCCTACGGCCCGCTCCGGCTCCCTCCCGCCTCCCGGCCCCCGTACCCGGTGCAGCAGCCTCTCGGGTCCGGGCGACTCCGGAACGGCCCCGGGCCACTCCCGTGGCTGCAGATGGCGGCGGGTCGGTGGCCTCAGGGTATCCCCCAAGAGCTGGCGGCGCCGGGTAAGGGGAGAGAAGACCAGGGTAAAGAGAAGAGGGTCCAGGAGAGGGCGGTGGGGGCGGGGGCGCCTGGGCCATCAGGAAACGGCTCCGGCCAGAAACACAGGCCGAGATGAAGGTTCCCAGGTGCTTATGGTCCGGTTTCCATCCCCCAACCCCGCTGCCTGCTTCACCCCGTCCGCCCCCACCGCTCCCATACGCAAATAAGAGCCCTAAAATGGAGTGCGGAATGTTTATTGAGTAAAGGGTGAGGGTGGTGGGTGGAAATGGGGCGACACAGAAATAAGCCAGACCATGCCCGTGCTCTTTTGTCAAATCTTCCACGCAGACAACAGTTCACCACTTCGGGGCAGACAACCAGGGCTCAGAGAGGCTACGCCGCTTGCAAAGGCTCACACAGCACAGTTGGGCGGAAACTGGGCTCCGACTGGCTCCCAGGCACTGGGAGGGGCAACGACTTGGTCTACATCACACAGCTAGAGAGGGAGGGAGGGAAGGAATGTTTCTCCCTTTAGATAGTTGGGGAAACTGAGGCCCAGGGTAAGGCAGTAACCTCAGCGGAGTAAGGGAATGTGTGTGGGAGTGACGCTGTGTGGGTCAGACGTGGTGGCCCAGAGAGGGGCCGGGCAGCACAGGCCGGGTCTGGAACTTAGTGGAGGCGCACGTGCTGCGCCAGCTCCGCTGCGTCCTGGAAGCGGCGTGGGCAGAGCGGGCAGGTGTGCGGTGGGCCGGCGCGGGCACGGTGCGTGGCACGGTGCCGCGACAGGTGGCTGGAACGCTTGAAGGCCTTGCCGCAGGCGCCGCACGTGAAGGGCTTGAGGTCCGAGTGCGACACGCGGTGGCTCTGCAGCCGCAGAGGGCTGGCAAAGACCCGGGCGCACTCAGGGCAGCTGTAGCCCTTGCGAGGGCCTGGCTCTCCCGGCGGTGCCTCGCGCTGTGGCGGGCCCCGGGGCTCCTCCTCCAACTGCACCGTGTACGTGTAGGGGACCCCGTTGGCGTCGATGAGCAGGTGGCGGCCCAGCCGCGGGGGTCGGGGCCCCGCCGCCGAGGAAGGAGTGGAGGAAGGGCCTTCCGTCTTGGGGAAAGGGGGAGCCTTGGGGGGCGGCGGGTCCATGGTCTCCGGAGAGGAGGACCGAGGGTGGGGTGGCCGCGGCGGCAGCAGCAGCATCTGGAGCGGCAGCTGGGAGCGGCGGAGGGGAGAGAAGTTAAAATCGCCACTTCCTGGGGAGAGTGTACCAATTCTCACTGCTTGTTACCCTCTCTGTACCACTGACCTACCTTCCCTACAAAAAAAGAAACTGCTTCTAGGCCAGATCGCTCTACTTGCATCAAGCAGCTTCAGGGGCTTCTACAACTAAGCTCAGCATCTTAGGGCCCCGACGTGCCTTTCCTCCTGGGTCCTCCTCTCATCCCCCAGCTGGACCAGAGGGCTTCACCCAGCCACTTCCCTCTTCCTCCACCCCAAAAGCCAATCAATTTCCAACTCTATTTTCCCCTTTACATCTTCATAGCCTCTTTCATGTCACGCCAGGGCTCTTGCCTCCAGAATTTCTCTAATGGGTCGCTTCCTCTTCTTCCCAGCCCCAGCTCAGGTTGCATCCTCTCCCCCCAGGACCACAGCAGCAGCCTTTCTTTGGCCTCCAGACCCTCCTAGATCTCCATCCCCACTAGGTTCCCTGTAAGGCCTCCCACCTCTGGATACGGCTGTAGCCTCTCTTAATTTCCTCTCTAGGTACATCTCCGGAGCCCCACTAACCCAATTCCCCACTTTTCACCCAGGGCTCCTCTATCCTGTTCCTACATTTAGCACCTTAAGGTTGCAACATCCTCTCCCATTACCTAACCTGTCCTCGAAATTTCAGGTATGCCTACCTAGAATGCCTCAACTGCCGGCCTTCTACGTAGCCCACGGCCCATGAACTTTGCCACCTGCTACACCTCCACCCAAGGGTCCCTCTCTCTCCCCAGCCCCTAGGTATAAGCCACTGACATCTTTGCTGTTCCTCTCTATACCCCTCGGGGCCTCCTCTCACTCCCCGTGACACACACCAGGGCCCCGGAGTCCCTCTCCCAAGCCCCCTTCTCCCTGTCTTCTGCATGCATCTGGCATCTTTATGTCCCCATTCCTATCCCTGCTGTACCAGCACAGCGCCTCCACCCCGCTTCTCTGCTCCGCTTCCTTCTGTAACCCCAGGGCCCCTGTGTCCCCCTTTCCACTAGGCCCCCAGGAACCCCTCGCTCCCGCACTCCCCCCCTGCCTGCCCCCCG